ATTTTTATTAAATAATTTCCGAGATATTTTCGTTCAAAATTTTAAACATCTACGATAGAAACTGCGCCAAAACTATTTTATATTTTGAACGAGGATATCTCAACAACCACCTAATAGAATTCGATGAAATTTTTTTATTTTAATTTTGCTTTAATTATATAACTACTGAACTATATATAAAAGATTTTTATTGGCTAATCTATCAAAAAACCAAAAATTTTAGACTCTTATTCTACTATCTAGCTAGAATATAAAAACTAATTATACATATAGCCTAAATATTATTTTTTTTATTCTTTTACTTTAAATTACTTGTTTGTAAATATAGTCAACTCTCTTTAAATTGAACAGCAGGTTCTTATATAAGAACATTCAAAAGTTCAACTTACAAAGAGTTACAATCCGAACTTAATAATAAATTTTACAAATGTTCTGAAGCCTTATGTTCAGTTTTAACGAGTTTATTAAGTGTTCAGTTTATCCAGGTTCAGTTTAAAGAGTGTTGACTTTCGTATATATTTTATTGTCAATATAATTCTCCGTCAAAAATACTTATTTCTATTTGAAAAAAAGTTACTAAAAAATATGGTATGTATATAATTTATTTGTAAAATGAGTGCGTGAGAATGAAAACCAGGAAATAAAATTTAACCAATCATAAATTTTATTTCCTGATTTTCACTCTCACGCACACAAATAATATACGAATTTTAACACTTAACAGAGGTGAAATTTACTGGAAGTACTATATCTTAAAAACATGCTAAGTAATTAAAGTAGGGTTTGAGTAAAAATGTTCAGAAAACTAAAATTAGAACCTTATATCTATCTATATTATATTATATAAAACTTCTCTCTTATTCTAAAACTGCGCCCTAATCCCAAAAGTTATTAGAAATAGTGAATTTCTACTGGTTAATATTAATAAATTCTTTTACTAAATATTATTTAGATAAAATTACCAAACTTACGTATTAGCAATTTTAAATTTTGCAGTTTTGCAAAAATTAGAAAAAGAAAAAGTATAAGTATTTTCAAGGCAAAAATGAAAAGAGTAATTTATAAATCAATACAAGTATGCATCGATGTTAATAAATTTTATTATCTAGCAAACAGACTCTAATAATGTGTAGTGCGCTTATAAAACTCATAATCATTACAGATTTATATATTCTTAATCCAACCACCTTTAAATTATGGTTGCTTTTTTTTATCCTCCACTACGCTTTGGACAATTAAATAATTACTAGTAAAAAATTGGCAATAAATAAGGTTCTTTGAAATATTTAATTGATTTTGAGTATTTGATAAATGCATGATTGGGATCATGCTCATAAGTAGGTTCACAATCATCACAGAGATTGAAATCTTCGCAATGCCCGCACTACACATGTTTTGAATTCATAAAAAAATAGAAATTAAAAAGGTTATATAAATGATGATTTTAATATCAAAGTTTACAATACCTTATATTTGAAACCAGATATAGGAAATTTATGACAATTGTCACAAGAAACTTCTGCATGTTCATCTGAATATAAAGTCTATTTAACTATAATCAATTGTAAGAACAACCGAAAAAATATCTTAAATAATGTTTACCTAGAATTATGAATTCATTGACATGCTGAGGCCAATGATTTGAATTATGTATCTGCCATTTGATCTTTACAAATGCATGGCTTTGATCATGATTGCAATGTGATTCGCAATCTTTACAGAGATCAAAATTTTCGCAATGCATACACTGTTTAATTAAAAAGAAAGGGTCCAAAATTTTAAAATACGTATGAAAGGGGTAATCATGAAAATCAAACAAAGTTCCTTTTAATTTCTTATACCTTAAATCTAATGCCGAATATACGTCTTCCACAATTGTCACAAGAAACAAAGTGATCCATATTAACAGACTTTTGATAATAAACAGAAGCTATTTGTTCATTCTTTTCAACTCCAATTCCATTTCGATAACAATATCCAAGGTTATATATACTACCAGCATGCTCCATCTCAGCAGATTTTTGATAATGAGTGAACGCTTTATGTTCATCCTTTTCTACTTCAATTCCATTTTGATAACAATTACCAATTACAAATATGCCTTTAGCATTCCCTAAGTCTGCAGATTTTTGAAAATAAATAAAAGCCTTATGCTTATCCTTTTCAACTCCAATTCCATCATAATAACAGATGCCGACTTGAAATATACCATCAGAATCACACATTTCAGCAGATTTTTGATAATAAATAAACGCCTTATGTTCGTCCTTTTCAATTCCAGTACCATTAAGATAGAAATGTCCAACATTAAGTGTTCCACTAGCGTGTCCAATCTCTGCAGATTTTTGATAATAAATGAATGCTTTATGTTCATCCTTTTCAACACCAATTCCTTTTTCATAACAGTATCCAACATTAAATGTTCCTTTAGCGTGCCCTATCTCTGCAGAGTTTTGATAATAAATGAATGCCTTATGTTCATCCTTTTCAACACCAATTCCATTTCGATAACAATATCCAACATAATATATTCCATCGGCATCTTTCATCTCTGCAGATTTTTGATAATAGATAAATGCCTTATGTTCATCCTTTTCGACTCCAATTTCTTTTTCATAACAATATCCCACACTACATGCTCCCCTAGCATGCCCCATCTCTGCAGATTTTTGATGATAAATAAATGCCTTATGTTCATCCTTTTCAACACCAATTCCATTTCGATAACAATATCCAACACTACATGTCCCACTTGCATCTCCCATCTCTGCAGATTTTTGATAATAAATAAAAGCCTTTTGTTCATCCTTTTCAACTCCAATTCCATTATGATAACAATATCCAACATTATATGTCCCACTAGCATCTCTCATCTCTGCAGATTTTTTATAATAAATAAAAGCTTTATGCTCATCCTTTTCAACTCCAATTCCATGACGATAACAATATCCAACATTAAATGTTCCTTTAACATGCCCCATCTTTGCAGATTTTTGATAATATATGAATGCTTTATGTTCATCCTTTTCAATTCCAATTCCATTACTATAATAATATCCAACATTAAACGTTCCTTTAATGTGCCCCTTCTCTGCAGATTTTTGATAATAAATAAAAGCTTTATGTTTATCCTTTTCAACTCCAACTCCATTTGCATAACAATAACCAACGTAAAATGTTCCTTTAGCGTGCCCCATCTCTGCAGATTTTTGATAATAAATAAAAGCCTTTTGTTCGTCCTTTTCAACTCCAACTACATTATGATAACAATATCCAACATTATATGTCCCACTAGCATCTCCCATCTCTGCAGATTTTTGATAATAAATAAAAGCCTTATGCTCATCCTTTTCAACTCCAATTCCATTTGCATAACAATAACCAACATTAAATGTTCCATTAGCGTACCCCATCTCTGCAGATTTTTGATAATAAATAAAAGCCTTATGTTTATCCTTTTCAACTCCAATTCCATTTGCATAGCAATAACCAACATAAAATGTTCCTTTAGCGTACCCCATCTCTGCAGATTTTTGATAATAAATAAAAGCCTTTTGTTCGTCCTTTTCAACTCCAATTCCATGATGACAACAATATCCAATATTATATGTCCCACTAGCATCTCCCATCTCTGCAGATTTTTGATAATAAATAAAAGCCCTATGTTCATCCTTTTCAACTCCAATTCCTTTTTCATAACAATATCCAACATTAAATGTTCCTTTAGCGTGCCCCATCTCTGCAGATTTTTGATAATATATGAATGCTTTATGTCCATCCTTTTCAATTCCAATTCCATTAATATAATAATATCCAACATTATATGTCCCACTAGCGTACCCCGTCTCTGCAGATTTTCGATAATAAATAAAAGCCTTATGTTTATCCTTTTCAACTCCAACTCCATTTGCATAACAATAACCAACATAAAATGTTCCACTAGCATGCCCCATCTCTGCAGATTTTTGATAATAAATAAAAGCCTTTTGTTCATCCTTTTCAACTCCAATTCCATGATGATAACGATTTCCAATATTGTATGTTCCACTAGCATACCCCATTTCTGAAGATTTTTGATAATAAATAAAAGCCTTATATTCATCCTTTTCAACACCAATTCCTTTTTCATAACAATATCCAACATTATATGTTCCTTTAGCGTACCCCATCTCTGCAGATTTTTGATAATAAATAAAACCCTTATGGTCATCTTTTTCAACTCCAATTCCATTTTCATAACAATAACCAACACTAAATGTTCCACTTGCGTTACCCATCTCTGCAGATTTTTGATAATAAATGAATGCCTTATGTTCATCCTTTTCAACTCCAATTCCTTCATGATAACAGTTTCCAACTTGAGATGTTCCATAAGCGTCACCCATCTCCGAAGATTTCTGATAGTAACTGAACGTCTTATGTTCATCCTTTTCAATTCCAATACCATTTCGATAACAATCTCCAAGAAAGTGCATTCCACAAACATGACCCATTTCAGCAGATTTTTGATAATAAATAAATGCCTTATATTCATTCTTTTCGACTCCAATTCCATTTTGATAACAATATCCAACATTATATGTTCCACTAGCCTCACCCATATCGGCAGAATTTTGATAATTGATATATGCCTTATGATCATCCTTTTCAACTCCAATGCCATTTCGATAACAATATCCGACTTGACAGATTCCACGAGCATCGCCCATCTTAGCTGATTGCTCATAATAAATGAATGCTTTATTGGTATCTTTTTTAACTCCTATTCCATATATATAACAATCTCCAAGAGAGTGCATTCCACAAGGATGACCCATTTCAGCAGATTTTTGATAATAAATAAATGCTTTATGATAATCTTTTTCAACTCCTATTCCATAATAATAATTACAACCAATGTTTACCATTTTTTCAGAATCTCCAATTTCAGTAGATTTTTCCGTGCTCATCTGTCCATCTTAATTATTAAAATGTTATCAGAATGACAATAATACACAATATTATAATGTCGTAAAAGTAATATTACCTAAATAATTAGACTGCTTAAAATGTTCATCATTTTCAAATTCACTTTCATGAAATATTCTATTAGAATTACAAATTCTGATAGAGTTTTCGAAAATAATGGACTTTTTTTGGTCATTTCTGCTAATTTCAAGTGCAAAATCTTGTGTGCAGAAAAATATAACCATGATCAGTAAGTTTCGATATTTATATATTACTACGCAACACATAACGTTGTCTCACGATTCTAGTTGGTCAATGATGATAGACGGACAATGTGATTTAATTTAATATAATATATAGGAAAGGTAATATTACCTGAAAAACGAGACAGCCCAATTTCTGCATATTTTTCACAATAATTAAATGGTTTTTGTTTATTTTCAATTCTAATATCAACATTTTGTAGGCTTAAAGGCAGATCCAGAATTAATAGGCTTTCTTCATTCGTCTGTCTAATTTGGACACCTTAAAATAATAAATAATATTAAAATAATATTGAATATAATGCAAAAAAGATTATAACATCGCAAAAACTGATTACGTGAATGAATCGACTGTTTATCAGTGTCCTCAACATTTTTACATGTAAATCGTGTAATTGGTTCAGAATGATAAGGTGATGATGACTCGTCAGCCTTTTTTATTTGCGTGATAAATTCGGTTGGTTCATCACTTTCAATATCCTTAATCAGCGTATCTAGGGTCTCACATATTTCTTTAGAAGTTGGTCTTTTGTTTATAAGGTGAGACCAACAATTAGTAATCAATTCAAAAATTTGATTTGGCATGTATGTTTGAATTGTCGGACGTAAACCATCATAAATTCTACGCGCTAAGTGAATATCATGTGAAGTATCACAATATGCTAGATGGCCTGATACTATTTCATATGCCACAATAGCAAAAGAATACACGTCTGATGCCATACTATATTCCTTGTTAAATAATACTTCAGGAGCTATATATGGAATTATACCACATATTTCACTGTTTGATTCATTATTATCTAATATCGAAAGTCCTAAGTCAGCGATATATGCACTGTTTAAAAACTCTTGTAAAATATTGCCACTATGTAAGTCTCGATGAATAATTTCTAGTGAATGAATAATCTGAAGATCAGAAGAAATACAACTCAACAATTTTAATTTATCCTTCCAATTCATTTTTGCCACATTAGGAAGGTTTTCACGTAGAGAACCCATCTTTGCATATTCTAATACAATGATGTATTCTTTAGAAACGTCATGTCTTGATATTCCATAACATTTTAAAAATGTTGAATTCTTATTGCCGATATGACAATATTTTTCTAACTATACAAATAGAAGTTAGAAACATAACATATTAATAATGCATGATTAAAATTTTTTCTTTTCGTGTATGTGATATCATAAGATCATTTGTAGTGCGAAAATCGAAATTCTTAGTTTATGATCAAAATTTTGTTATATTAATAAAATTTTCAAGTTAGCGAAATGTCAAATATCCCTCATTTTGTTAATATACGAGGTTTAAAATAATAAAATCATATACTGTGCATGACCGAATAGAATAAAGCTACAACCGCGGTTTGGACCCAAGTTTATAGTAAATTAGACCTGAATAAAAGTGATCTTACTATAGCCTGAAACAATTTTCATTTTTTTTCAACATTTTGGTAGCCTTTTATTCGGTCATATATGGTACATATATAATTAGGACATGAATAAATCATACACCAATGTTGGAAATCTGAATTGGTTTTTTAATGTTCTCAAGCAATTTTTTCCCACATATTTATTAATAAAATTAGAAATTGATTTTCTCAGAGAACATCGAAAGCATCAAATTTCCAACACTGACACAATATTTCGGTCTTACCAATTAGATCATCTAATATCGTGTAACGACCGAATGTAAAAATTTAAATATCTTAAGAATGATTAAGATATAAAATTTTTTACAATTATTAAAAAAATAGTCAACAACTCGAAATTGACTATGAAAATACCTTCTGCGCTCTAACAAAGAAATTCCTCGTGAAATTTTTTCAGGATATGCCTACTGTAATCTTTATTCTAATCCTAACGTGAGGGTTTAGTATTTTAAAATATTACGCATATTAAAGTCTTTTTGATCCGATAAATTCGGCAGATTTTTGTGGGTTGACCTTTATTTAAATTCCCTAGATTTACAAGCTCAAATTTTATATGTAATACTAATCAGTATCGGAATCTAAAAAGCGCAATACCAAAAGAAACCCATTTTTCTTTAGGGGATTTAAATAAAGGTTAAATTCCGCCGATTTGGATAATAGTGTTAAAAACACTATGGTTGATATTGTACGTACATTAATATCCCTAATAATACCGGTGGGTGAAAAGACCCCCAAATAAGACCTTTTTACTATTCTTATGAATATAATATGCATAATATGCCTGTATAATGAAACCCAATAAAATAATAATAAAATGCATAATCCCTTGTCGCACTAAGTGTCACTCATGACTACCTTCATTAATATTTTTTTACACGTGATTAATCATATTTATAATAATCATATTGTGACCGGGAATCTTCCCACGAAAGATTCCCGGTCTCATATTGATCATCGGGAAACTCTAATTTTTAATGCTTAATTTTATTTGAATCTAAAGAACTTTAAAAGCCAAAGTAAATATGCCCAGCAAAATGAAGCTAAAAAAAAGGCACGATAAGAGCAAAGTGAAAGTAAGAGTTTGAAAATAGTTAAACGTAGAAGTAAAAAGCAAAGGCGATAAAAAGAGTAAAACAATAAAAATGATGTAAATAAAAAAAACTAAAGCGAAACCCAAAAGTTAGTAAAGCACAATACGAATATAAATATGGAACACGTGTAAAAATAATGGTATGGTAGTCCGATTAACATCTAGTGAAACGCTCGCTCCTGGGGATTATTTATTTATTTCATGTGGGGAAATTATAACAGAGGTTACCGATGATCATAGTGCGTGAATGGCCCTTCGGGCCATCCATGTACTATGATCATCGGTAACCTCTGTTATAATTTCTACTCCCCAGGAAATAAATAATACTAATCTATTTGATTATAAAATTTTGATTATTCTAAACCCTTTACTTAATAATAAATGACATTTCCTTACTATTTTTAAAGATCGCACTCATTTCTTTCACATTATACCTAACATATCGCGATGATTACAAAATTTAAGGTTAAATTTTACCTCTTTTATAAATTCTTCATATGAATTTTTTGATGCATGTACTAATTTAAGAGCGACAACTCGATGAAACATTCGTTTAGGTTCAAACCATTCGGCTGAATAAATTGTCGCAAATCCACCTTTTCCTATCTTTACGATATCTTTTAATTCACTATATGGAATCCATTGTAGTGGATATTTGATTTCAAATAATAATTGTTTAAGATCATTATCTATGTTTGAATTTTGATGAATCCATTCATCTGTGGTTAAAAATTTTTAATAGTTAGATATGAATTATTTTTAATACCAGATAGCAGAGATGGTAAATGGCTTGAAATGACTCAAATAACCCAAATGACTAATGACCAGTCATTGTGTCATTTCACATCCAAATGACAATAGAAAATCATTTAACATTTGTTAACTGATAATCTAATACCTTTTAGCCAATCAAAATTGATTATTAGGCATAAAGTAATTTTTATAGCTATATATAAAAATCAAATTTTACTAAGTTAATCGATATTTTAATCAATCTTATGTTGTTCTGAATAACTTTACTGAAGATGTAAATATTTGATTAACCTAGTAAAATTTTATAGCTATGATCATCGGCTAGTGAATCGATAACTTTTTACTAACAAATAAAATTACTTCATGTTAAATGACCCAAATGACAGGTCATTTACTAAATAATCTGGTAATTTGAATTTTTAGTAAATGACCTGGTCATTTACCATTCCTGCCAGACAGCGCGGACCATAATACTGCCATTCCAAATTCTTACAGAAATTACGTAGTGGAATGAAAAATAACAAGGAACGCATAAAAATTTGCTCTATGAAAATCGGCAAGTGTGCAGTAATATCTCGGACAATATTTAAATTTTGTCTGCAGAATTTAGCATACTTATGGCACTATGATCCATGTTGTGCGGTAATGAGTGAATGGTTAATAATACCTGAAAATTGGGCTTGCTCCCTAGTTATTATTTATAATAATAAATTGAATAAGTTATACATGACGATAAAATACAATAATATATAAAAATTATAACATACTTTTGACGCCAATAATTAGCCTCACGTAGATCTTTGGTTACTCCAATTCCATTTCGATAACAATAACCAGCAAAATACATTCCATTAACATCTCCCATCTTAGCAGATTTTAAAAAATAAGTAAATGCCTTCTTAGGATCAATACCACTTCCAATAGTTCCTAAATAACATAATCCAAGATTATACATCCCTTCAACAATTCCCATATCTGCAGATTTGTGAAAATAACTAAATGCGTAATTTTTATTCTCTTCAACGCCAATTCCATTCAGATAACAATTACCAACACTAAATGTTCCTGTAGCGTGCCCCATCTCAGCTGATTTCTGATAATACAAGAATGCCTTGCTTTCATCCTTTTCAATTCCAATTCCATTTTGATAACAATATCCAACACTGTATGTTCCACTAGCGTCACCCATCTCTGCAGATTTTTGATAATAAATGAATGCTTTATGTTCATCTTTTTCAATTCCAATTCCATTTTGATAACAACATCCGACATTATATGTTCCAGTAGCGTTCCCCATCTCTGCAGATTTCTGATAATACATGAATGCTTTATGTTCATCCTTTTCAACTCCAATTCCATTAAAATAACAATATCCGACATTGTATGTTCCACTAACGTCACCCATCTCTGCAGATTTTTGATAATAAATAAAAGCCTTATGTTCATCCTTTTCAACTCCAATTCCATGACGATAACAATATCCAACACTACATGTTCCAATAACGTTCCCCATCTCTGCAGATTTTTGATAATAAATGAATGCTTTGTGTTCATCTTTTTCAACTCCAATTCCTTTTTCATAACAGTTACCAACTTGAAATATTCCATCAGCATTACCCATCTCAGAAGATTTCTGATAATAACTGAATGCCTTATGCTCATCTTTTTCAACTCCAATTCCTTCAACATAACAATTTCCAACTTTAAATGTTCCATCAGCATCACCCATATTCGAAGATTTCTGATAATAACTGAATGCCTTATTTTCATCTTTTTCAATTCCAATTCCACTGCGATAATAATCCCCAAGACTGTGCATTCCGCAAGTATGGCCCATTTCGGCAGATTTCTGAGCATAAATAAATGCTTTAAATTCATTCCTTTCAACTCCAATTCCATTTTGATAACAAAACCCAACACCAATCATTCCATTAACTCCACCCATATCAGCAGATTTTTCATAATAAATAAATGCCTTATGCTCATTCTTTTCGACACCAATTCCATTCTGATAACAATATCCAACGCGAAAACATCCATCAGCATCGCCCATATCAGCAGATTGCTGATAATAAATGAATGCTTTATATTCGTCCTTTTTAACACCGATTCCACTTCTATAACAATCTCCAAGACTGTGCATTCCACAAGAATGATCCATTTCGGCAGATTTTTGAAAATAAATAAATGCCATATGTTCGTCACTTTCGACTCCAATTCCATTTTGATAGCAATATCCAACTTTAAAACATCCATCAGCACCGCCCATATCAGCAGATTGTTGATAATAAATAAATGCTTTATAT